CATGAATCGTTCAACCATCGGCACATTTTGTGTGTGTGTTATTTTTATGCTTTACATTGTATATTTGTGTCAAAGGTGTATAAGTCTCACTTTGTTGGACTTACGAACGAATCCAACTTACAAACATTCTCCCGGAACGGAACTCGTTCCTAAGTCAGGGACTTACTGTATTCAGAAAGAAGTGTAATTTCACTCCTCAAAGAAAAGCAAATAAAAACAAAATTAGAGATAGGAAAAGCAACGGCTAAGTGACAGATGGTTTTCAAGGTACTTGATTTAAAAAACAGAATGCTTCCCTTAATTCTCACATGATGGTATTATCTCCCATTTTACAGATAAGTAAACTGAGGCAGAGGGAGGGTCAGTGACTTCCCTGAGGATACAAAGTGAAAAATGGCAGGATTTGAACCCTAGCCACCTGGATTCAGCACTCATGTCATTGTCTGCTGACTATGCAGCTTATACAGTCATCAGATTTCAGATGGAGATTTTAAAGGTGGCCAGATGGATCTCCCCTCCCAGAAAAAATAAAAAGAGAAAGAAACTATAAAACTACTAGAAAACATGGGAGTTAGTAATAATAATAATCCTAGTTTGTTGAAACATGACATTAAACCCTGAAGCCTTTAATTAAAAGTAATAACTGACTACAAATATAAAATTCTTGTACACACACACACACACCCAAATACTAGAAGGTCAATAGACAAAGTTAGGGAAACTTTTCCAAGACACGATAGACAAAAGGCTGATTTCCTTCATATGTAAAAAGCTTCCAGAAATCAATAAGGACCAATAGGCCAATAGAAAAAGAAGCAAGAAAATACAAGTGTTTTTTAAGCATATATGAGGAAGTTCATTCTTATTCATAGTAAACTAGATATAAAATAAAACTACCATGAAATACCATTTTAAATTAAATCTATGAGATTGCTGAAGATGAAAAGGTCTCACAATTCACCCTTGTGACTGGGGTTTAGGGAAAAGACCCATCTCATGTTCTGGGGTTCAGAGTATGAAATGGTATAATCTCTTTGATAATAGCTTTTGAAATGACAAGCCAGCTATGTCCCTTTGGGAATCTACCCATGTACCCATGGACAGAGCATTGCACAACGCATGTACTGAGTATTTACATGTAATCCGCAGCAAAGCATGAGGCTAGATCAGTGAACAAAGGAGGAAGCCTACAGAGGGGAGGTGATGGAATGGGGGTGTGCACTCTCTCCAGGGAAGGTGGGCAGGCTGGCTCTACCTGTAGTCCAGGGTCACCACGGCCCCAGCCACTTCCCTTGTCAGGCTAAGCTCCAGGCCTCGCGTATCACACCTGTTGGTGTCTAGAACAGATCAGAGCAAGGCCCAGGGACACTTGGCTTTAACATATGGAGGCCAAGCCGGCCACGCTGAGCCCTGTGAGTGTTGGGTGCCAGTTCCAATTAATTCTGACTTTCTCATTAAGCCGTTAGGAAAAGCCAGGTGGCTGTGGGCAGCAGGCCCTCTGCCTGGGCGCTGGATTAGAGGAATCATGGTTTCTGCCTGGAGACACTATTATCTGTCATGGGCAATTATGGAAGAGCCAGGCCGACAGGGACAAGCTGGAGAATCTGAGTTCTGGAAGCTGGGAGGCTCAGAACCATGGTTCACTGAAAGTGCGGACTCCCAGCATTTTGGAAGGCCTGGCGTTCTAGACCCCCAGAAGATTCATAATCGGAGGGCTCGCAGGTAGGAATGTCAGGGTTCCAAGTAGTAATCAACACATGCCATTTCTGGCTATCTTAGGGGGCAAAGGAATGCTGGAGAAGGTTCTAAGGGAGTTCAGACTATCAATAGGAAGTGACAAGAGCAGGTAATTTAAAAATGGGATAGAGGGCCAGCCAAGTGGGGCGTTGGTTAGGAGTTGGCTTGAGACACCAGCTCTGAGCAGCAGGGTCCCGGTTCGGATCCCACATGGACCAGTGACACTGCGCCCTCTACAGCTAAGATGGTGAACAACAGCTCAACCTGGAGCTGGGCTGCCGTGAGTTGCTGGCGATGGTGTAGGCTGCAGTGGGGTTGGCTGGCAGCTGGCGTGCACTTTTGTGAGCTGCCGTCCAATGGCCGGTGAGCGACTGCCTCACCCGGGAAGAGCGCAATGATAATACCACCATGGGCCAGTGAAGCGACGTCCTCCACAACTAAAGAACAAAAGAACAGCAACTTGTCTGTTCCCCTTCCTCGATTCCCCAACACTGTTCCCCTCCCCCAATTCCCCAATAAATAAATAAAAAGAGCTTTCTTCTGGGAGATGATAATGTCATGCTAATATATGTACCACAAAAAACAGTGTTCTTTGGTATAAAAGTTTTTTAAAAAATGGGCTAGAGGGCATGGGTCCTCTGAGTGCCTGTGTCCTCCCAGTACTGCAGGCAGATAGGAAGGGCGGGTGGGTGCTGTGCCCACTTGCCCCTATGGATGACCTACCCACTGAACTTGGCCAAATTCTGGAAGTACAGGTGCTTAGCTTCTTGTGACACAGAAGTTTCTTATCTAGACTTGTCCCCTCTCAAACTGCAAGCCCAGAGGCCCACACAATGTTTTTTGTTGTTAAAAAAAAAGAATTGGTAGATGAGTGTTTCCTTATAAGAAGTTGGAGCTCCACTAGGCCCCAGTCCAAATGGCAACCGTGGGCCCTCCATAGATGGCACATGAATTCCCTACCAGCCCTACTAGGTCCAATGCAGACCCTGAGTCCCAAAGGTTGAGTTTGCCCTCCCTGGACCAGTAATGGTACTAACTTTTTATCCTTGCTTTGAGCAAAAAAGTAAGTCCCAGGGCAGCTGTTTGCCAACATCCCCCCAGGGAGAGGTTGAAAAGGCTTTGGAAAAAAGCAAAGGGACATCCCTCTGTGCCTTACAGCTATCCCATTGGGTCTCTGTCACCAACCCTATGTGGTCGGTACTGTTGTTCTCCCATTACTCAGAAGAGAAAACTGAGGCTGAGAGGGAAATCACACAGGAAGGTGGAGCAGAGTCCCTGGAACATGGCAGGAGTGTTAGTAGGAGGGCTCAGGTGCCTCTCTGCCTGGAGTGGTGCCAAAAGGAGAATGTGGAGTGGGGAGGGTGGCTTTAAAAAGGGCTGGGCTAGGGCCGGCCGAGTGGCTCAGTTGGTTACGAGCTCGCTCAAGAGTGCAAGCTCTTGGGCCGGCCGAGTGGCGCGATGGTTAAGAACTGGCTTGGGACGCCAGAGGACCCCGGTTCGGATCCCACATGTGAGGGCCAGTGACACTGCCCTCCACAGCTAAGATGCTGAACAACAGCTCAACCTGGAGCTGGGCTGCTGTGAGTCGCTGGCGACGGCGTAGGCTGCAGCCCCTGTGGCAGTGGGTTGCCTTGGGCTACCATGTGTAGCCAGTAGCCAGCGTGAGCAGCCAGCAGCCGCAGTGAGCGGCCGTCCAGAAGCCAGCAACTGATGTGCCTCGCCAGGGAAGAGCGCAATGATGGTGCCAACTTGGGCCAGAGAAGCAATGTTTTCCACAACTAGGCTGAAGAACAAAACGACAGCAACGTGTCTGTTCCCTTCCCCCCAATTCCCCAGCACTGTTCCCATCCCCCCAATTCCCCAATAAAAATCTTAAAAAAAAAAGAGTGCAAGCTCTGAGCAACAGCTGTTTGAGTCCTGGCCCGAGCTGAGCAGCCGCTGAACTGCCAACAGGTGGCAGGATGGCTCAGCTATATATAAAAAAGTAATAATAAATAAAAAAAATAAAAGGGCATGGGCTATGGGGCAGCCAGTTGACTCAGGTGGTTAGAGCACGGTGCTCGTAACACCAAAGCTGCCGATTTGATTCCCACATGGGCCAGTGAGCTGCACCCTCCACAACTAGATTGAAAACAACTTGACTTGGAGTTGATGCGTCCTGGAAAACACACTGTTCCCCTAATAAAGTTAAAAAAAAAAACTTAAAAAAAAAGGCATGGGGAGGCGTTTGGATTTTCTTCTAAGGGTAATGGGGGGCCATGGGAGGGTTTGGAGTAAGGGAGTGGCATGATCTAATTTGTGTATTAGAAAGGTTCCTGACAGTATGGAATCTATTTTAGAAGATGGATACATTGATTTTTAGCTAAGAAAGGCCTTGTCTCAGGTCAGAGTGCTCTCTATGCTAAGCTATGTTCATAGCTTCCACTTGGGCCTCCAGGGAAATTTCATAAGGAATTCATTGCTAGGATAGCTGGCAAATGAGAGTTCATGGTAGTCCCTGTTGGCAAATTGTTATTCCAGTCTAGCTCTATTAGAAACAAAGGCTATTTTACACCAACATGTTCAAAAGTGACATTCTTCATATATAAAGAGTCGTTAGAAATAAATAAGAACAGAGACACATGCAAAGAGCATGGATGCCACTTTGAACATGGATGCCACACAAGACATTAGGTGGGAAATTGTAAAATAAAAACTATTACGAAAAGGTGTTTAACCTAAAACCCGAGGATTCTCCCTACTCCAGTATTCAACAAAGCTATCTGATATTAACTTTCGTGAGGGTGCCAGGCAATGGGCACTCATATCCATTGCTGGTATAAGTGCCATCTTTCTGGAGGGTACAGTGGCAATGTGGATTGAAAGCTTTTGATGGATAATAACTAATTACAATGACTCACCTTTGTTGAGTGGCAAATCAATTTCATTTGTTATGCTTTTCCCACTAGAGCACAAGCTTCTCAAAGGCAGGGGTTTTTCTGTTTGGGTCATTGTTGAGTCCCCAGTGCCCAGCACAACCTCATCTACTCATTTTTCTGTACACTGACGTCTGAGAACCACTGAGCTAGATCAAAAGGGAAGTTTTTGTGCAGACTTCTGAGCATCCACCTTGTTAGGTCTTTAAGACAACCTTCAAATCCTCAGAGGTGAGTGGAGAATTCTCTGGGGCCCCTGATGACCTACAGATTAATGGGTGTGCTTGTAGTTATAAGTATTAAATGAGATGATTTCTGATACTTACTGAGTCCTTAGGACGTGCCAGGCAGTGTTTGAAGAGCTTTATAAAACACTTTTAATCATTTAACAGCAAAGCTATGAGGTAGGTGCTAATATCGGGTCCATTTTACAGATGTAGAAACTGAGTCCACAGCATGAAAGCAGCCCCCTAGCTAGGGCCTGACACACAGTAGGTGCTCAGGTTTAGGTTAAATTTTGCTCTGTCAGCTCTGTGAACACCTGTTCTTGTCTCTCCAAGGGAGCATTTCCTCAGCAGTTCCATGATGACTCTGGGTACCAGTAAGTACTCTGTGAATGTTTCGGTTCTTGAATTCCTTGGATGACTCAATGTAGAGCTGCCAGGGAAGATGAAAGGGTAGTGGCAGGTTTCTGGGGGCGTGGAGGCATGACACACACAAGGACACAAGTGAACATACACCCCAGGACAAATGTAGACACACCCACTTCAAAACGGATACACATACCCCCAGACCAATGTAAACACAGCCCAAGACAAGCGCAGATGTGCACATGAGACTTGCACACACAACCCAGGGCTTTGACCTGGGCGACCAGGTTAGGGTGGCTTTCCCAGCTCTAACTTGCACCTCTGTCCCTCCTCCCTGGGGCCCAGGGCCTCCTGCTAAGACGGTGGTGGACCAATGGGGGAACCGGAGGTCCAGAGAAAGGGACTTGGGCAGCAGGAGCGCAGCTCTTGGGCACCACCTGGTGGGCACAGGGGACAGGGGGCATGGCAGCCGAGCAGCTCAAAACCTCTGGTTCCCTGTGTGTCTATTTCTGTGTCTCAGTCTCTTCTTTTTCTTTCCGTGTCCATCTCTTTCTTTACAGCTCTCTTCTGTGTCTCTCCGTCTTTCTTTCCCTTTTCCTCCCTCGCTCTCCCCCACCTCCGGAGCCCAAGGTCTCTTCCACAACTGAGCCAGGCACCTCAAAGACCTCCAAAGACCCCTCCCTGTGCACCCCTCTTATTAGCTGCATCCTCTGTGTCCTGTTCCAATGGCATCAGCCTGGCACTTCCTGCCACCCCACGGGCTGTCACTATGACTCAGTCTGGGTGGGGCGTGATGACCAACCTCATCAGCTTTGCCTGTGGGCCACTCCTACCCGAGTTCTGGTCTTTGGGGAAAGGGCCTCATGCCTGGAGGAGCATGTGGTCCCCATGCTGTGCCTTTGTCCAAACAGAGCCTGGCCCACGAGTCCACCTTGGCTCACCCCTTCCCCAGGGCTGGCTGCTGTTGACTTCCTGAAGGTGGGAAGTACTAGATGCATTGCAGGGTAGAGGTGGGGACAGTGAGGATTTGGACTCCCAAGCAAGGAAGGCCCCAGATACAGACGAGAGAAAGAGAGAGAAAGAGAGAGAAAGAGAGAGAGAGAGAGAGAGAGAGAGAGAGAGAGAGAGAGAGAGAGAGAGAGAGAGAGAGAATATGAATGAGTCACACTTGCACCCTGATAGGAGGGTGGGGATCTTCTCAATGGAAAACTCACCATAGCACCTCATCACCTGTGTGCTGGTGGCCTGATCCAAACAGCCTGGACCCGAGGCCACACTGACTCCAATCTCCCTTGTTCCCACTTGCTCAGTTCCTCTGAGGTGCCACACCCTTTCCTTCCTGAGGCTACTGCATATCCTGTTCCCTCTGCCAGAATGCCCTTCCAGTTATCTCCTCCAGGAAGCCAGCCTTACCCTACCCCCTCCTTGAAACCATCCATTGAGCTCCAGAGCTTGGTTATGGTAATGGTTATGGTCATGGCTGTGTCCCTGCACACAGGAAATGCCCAAGAAAGGCTTTGCTAAATGAATAAGCTAGAAAAGGCTCAGAGGCGTGCTCTTGAGCTTAGGTCTCTGATCTTGCCTTGCTAGGTGTGTGTGTGGGGGGCACTTGGTCAAGTGGGCATCTTCCCTCTCTGTGCCCTATTTTCCCAGAGACAGGGGGTGAAGAGATCTTTTCTGGGTCATGTGTGAAATCTATCTATCCTGCTGGGCCTCATTTCAGCCGCGTGTGTAAATATGTGGTCCGCCGGGCCGGCGGCATCTACACAGGAGAAGCTTCAGCGCCTTTCATGAGCCTCCCCATGGGGCCTAACTCGAGGTTTCTGTGGCTGGGTATGTGGGGCGCCCCGGCTGCTTCACCGCTGGTTGGCACAGGGTGGGAAGACTGCGGGACAGGAAGATGCGGCGAGGTGGCAACAGCGGCTCCCGGCACTTAACCCCACAGTGTGCAGCATTTAAGGGGCTGAACCGGGGCCTCCTGCTTTAAACATTGCTAATGCAGGGGCCGGCCAAGTGGCCGCGTTGGTTAAGAGTTGGCTTGGAAGACTATACTTTCAGGGATCATTTCTATAGTTCGTTACTAGAGAAGTTTCTCTGATCGTGTAGGGCACCCGAAACCATGAGGAGGAGTTGCAGTGTTCTCTCCTGAGCGTGAAGCCGGCTCTTGGTGTTGCTTTTGCATCTGCCATAAGTCATTGATGATCGTTCTTCTCTTCCTTTGGGAGAGTAAGAGGGAGAGAACGCAGTCTGAGTGGCTTTCGTTAAAAAAAAAAAAAAAAAGAGTTGGCTTGGGAGTGTGAGCTCTGAGCAGCAGGGCCCGGCTTCGGTTCCCACATGAGGGTCAGTGACGCTGCACCCTCTACAGCTAAGATGGTGAACAACAGCTCGACCTGGAGCTGAGCTGCTGTGAGTGGCCGGCAACGGCATAGGCTGCAGTGGGGCTGCAGTGGGCTGCCGTAAGCTACCGTGAGTGTCTGACAGCCAGCATGAGTGGCTGGCAGCCAGCGTGAGCTGCTGTGAGCCGCCGTGAGCGGCTGTCCATTGGCCGGCGAGCGACTGCCTCACCCGGGAAGAGCGCAATGATCACAATACCTACATGGGCCAGTAAAGCGACATCCTCCACAACTAGACTGAAGAACAAAAGGACAGCAACTTGTCTGTTCCCCTTCCCTGATTCCCCAA